CTCGTCCCCACCATCAATCAGTATTGCTTGAACATCGCCAAATAGGCGAACCCATCCAATCAAACGCGGGGTATGCAGACCTTGATGACGAAGAGAGACATGCAAGTAAGATGGCGGCAGCGGGTTGTTACTGTGTGTGTACAGCGGATGCAGCCGAAGCTCGTAAGGTAGGGCACCACCTCAGATCCCCCATCCAGCGGCGTCGTCAAATAGGAAGGTCGCTGTTCGCAAAGCATCCAGTCCTCCGGGCCTCCGGGCTGTCCCGCCTGCATATAACATGGCTGGAGGCTGGAACTTCCTGCTTCTGAACGTTGTGCCTGTCCATCTTTGCCTTCTTCGATTGAGCTTCGATTCTCGATCGGGCGGCACCAACCAACCCCGTGCCGTTTTGCGAATGAGAGGGAAAACGCACTTTGGAGAACAGGGACAAGACGCGTGCCTCGCGTGCCTGGCATGCAATGTCTCACGAAAGAAACAACCGCAAACGTCGCCCAACACATGCTGGCAACCGGGCCAAAAGATAAGATGGGAGCGAACAAGCCGAACAAGGCGAGTCTCGGGGGCCGCTCCCAACCGAAGTTGCCTAGTGGGGAACTGATGGAAACGTTTGGCAGGACCGCAGTGCCAACGATGCCGACTGGTCCCCGACCGGGCCCACGCGCCCCCAAGCAGGCCCGCTGGGAACCCCCAGAAAAACCCACAACTTCAAGGTTGCCATCATGTAAAGAAAAACCCATAAAAAGAAAACCCATAAAATGGAGAACCCCGGATTGTTTCGAGGACAGACTCCTACAACCTTGAGAAGATCCATTACTACCAAAGAACATCTCCCGTGGGCAGCAAAGTACGTGAATACTTTTTTTTATTTTAAAAAAATAGCAATTGGCCGCATTCTTGTCGATTTAAACCGAATCTAAGCTGACGTGAACCGTGGGCTACCACGGGCAGTTACTAGTTGGATATTACGAGATCGAATCCAATTCCGTTAGTCGGCAGTCACACGACCCCCCAAACCTAATTTTTGTACAACACGCAGCGGCGGGTACTACGACACTACTACAAGACATACATACCCCTCGTAATGGTTTGAACCCGTCTACAAGCTCAACGCTTTGTATACCGCCCACTACAAGCCCATCAATCCGGATTCAACACCCGCGAGGAAAATGGACTCGACGACGACTATGCCGCCAGACCGGCCCGGCCGCCAGGACAACAATGCCAATGTCCGCCAGCGCCTCCCGGCTCTGAGCACCACCACAAACAAGCTCACCGACACTTTACCGCCCAAGGCCGAGGCCAATGAGGGGGCTAGCAATGGAGGGGGAGTGGAAGAGGAGTCGTCCCGGCCCAAGAGGACATATGGGCGCACTCCAGAGGGAACAGGTACGACGACATCTCCCCCTATTCCTGGTATATCTCCACGAGACCGACCGACGCTGACAGAGCGGTAGTCTTCGTCGTGCCCACCACCCACGACATGGTCTCGCAGCTGCTCGACCCCCGCGAGCCCAAGAACCTCTCCGACGTGGTCGTGCTCGCCATCCTGGCCCTCCACATCCTCGCCGCCTACTACCTGCCCTGGAACCTCAAGCAGCCCGTCTTCGCCGCCATCTTTTTGTTTTGGCGCGCCTCGTACAATGTCGGCATCGGCTACCTGCTGACCGTCCAGTCCAAATACAAGCTGCTGGTGACGTGGGCGAAGCGGTGGCGCCTGTTTGAGAACCCGGCCGGGGGCAACCAGCCGCGGCCCTGGCTGTACGCGCTGCTCAAGGACGAGCTCGAAACCAAGATCCCGGCTGACTACAAGTTCGACGAGGCCCCGCTCGAGTACAACACGTGGCTTGTCTTTCGCCGGGTTGTTGACTTGATCTTGATGTGCGACTTTGTGTCGTATTGTTTGTTTGCTATCGTCTGCGGCCACAAGCCTGATGGAGAGGCGCTGGGTATTACCGTGACTCGCTGGGCGATTGGGGTTATCTTGGTTGGGTTCAACTTGTGGGTTAAGTTGGATGCGCATAGAGTTGTAAAGGATTATGCTTGGTACTGGGGTGGTAGGTCTAACTCAAAATACCACCTTTTTTATTCTAATTATTTACTGACGAATTGTTGTAGACTTCTTCTACCTCATCGAGCAGGAGCTGACGTTCGATGGCGTGTTCGAGATGGCGCCCCATCCCATGTACTCGATCGGCTATGCTGGATATTACGGCATCTCCATGATGGCGGCAAGCTACGACGTGCTCTTCATCTCCATCCTTGCCCACGCCGCCCAGTTCGCCTTCTTGGCTTTTGTCGAGAACCCTCACATCGAGAAGATCTACAACCCTCCTCCGCCCCGCATCAGGGCCGAGTCAATTCTGTTCGATACAGACGGCCAGGGCTATGAGCTGACGACTGAATCGGCGGGCACTGGCACTGCAAATGGACCAAGAGAGACGCCAGAGCCTGTCCATAACCTTTTGGGCCTGAAGAACCTCGACCTCTTCCGCACCACGGATTACTCTGTCCTGCTCCTCCTTGGCTACCTTGCGGCTTTCACCCTCGTGACGCCAAGCACGCCATTGTACCAGGGCATCTTTGTAGTACACGCGATCCTGTGGCGCCTGTGGTACTCATTCGGTCTGGGAGTCATCCTGACCTTGCAGTCAGAAGAGAAGATGTTCACCCGGCACTTTGTCAAGTACGGCGAGAGCGCGGGCGAGGCCTGGCGCCAATGGAAGAGCATGTACCACCTGAGCATGACACTCTGCCACGCCTCCTTCATCGCCGCGGCCTGGAAGATGTACAACCTGCCCGAGGACTGGAGCTACGGATGGGTCCTTCTGAAGCACGTCGTCGGCCTCAGCCTCATCGCGCTGCAGATGTGGACAGCCTCGAGCATCTACGAGTCCCTCGGCGAATTCGGCTGGTTCTACGGCGACTTCTTCTTCGACAGCACCGGCAAGCTGACGTACAAGTCCATCTACCGCTTCCTCAACAACCCCGAGCGCGTCATCGGCACCGCCGGCCTCTGGGGCTTCGCCCTCATCACCTGGAGCAGAGCCATCTTCCTGATGGCGCTGGTCGGCCACATCCTCACCCTCGGCTTCATCTCGTTCGTCGAGAAGCCGCACATGCAAAAGATCTACGGCCAGAACCTGCGCGAGGAGGCGGGTCTCACCAAGTTCATCAAGCGCTCGCTGCCGCCGCCCGTCCAGGGATGGCAGAAGAGCGTCGACAAAGTCCTCGACGAGACCAAGCACTTTGTCGACGAGTTCCTCGAGACGGCCCGCTCGCGCCTGGCGTCCGGCTCCTCGACCATCGCCAGGGACACCTCCGCCCTCTTCAACAAGTACCCCGCTCGCCTGACGCTCAGCCGGATAGCACCCGACCTGGCCGGCTACGACCCCAAGCACTACGCGCTGTCGTTGGAAGGTACCTCGCTGTCGACGACGGGGGCGGTGAACGAGAAGGCGACGGGCAAGGAGAGCGCCAGCGCGCGCGTGCCCAAGGCGGTCAAGACGCAGGTGTTTGAGTACGGCGCGCCGATCCACGTCAAGTGGACGGCGCCGGCGAACCACAGCAAGAAGGACTGGATTGGGCTGTACATGGTGACGGACAATCGCTCGAGAGAGAATACCGAGGTGCCGACGCTGGGCAGGTGGGTGCCGACGTGTCCGGGGCAGTATGATACGACGACGGACCAGGGGATTCTTGTCTCGGATCAGCTTGTTAAGGGCGCGGGCATGACGGATGAGGTGGATCTGGTGCAGGGCGAGATGGTGTTTGAGGGCGACAAGCTCTGGTGGACGCAGGGCGTGTTTGAGTTCCGCTATCACCACGACGGGGGCCACAACGTCATGTCGATTTCGGAGCCGTTTGAGGTGCAGATAGGCAAGTTCTACGACGAGGATGACAATGAGGCGGCCTCGTCGTTGTTCAAGGATGGGGTGTGCGAGCAGAGCGCGGTCGAGGCCGCGCTGCTGCCGGTTGTGCGGAACTGTCTCGATCGGGACCCGGACATCGCGCCGGCGACGGCCGAGGAGCGGTTTGGGGTCCATGTGGAGCGGGATAGCAAGTATGCGCGGCGGGTGGTGTATGCGATCCATCACATGTTTGGGATCGAGTTTGCGCCGGCGGTGGTGCCGGCGGATGGGAACGTCAAGAAGCTGGCGTGGAGGATTTGTAATGCGAAGCAGGTTCTGGTATGTTTGACTCTGCCCTGAGTGAATGAGGGTGTGGAGGGGGAGAGGTTGTGTTTTTTGAAGACGCTAAAATGATGATGGTGTGTGATGCAGGCTCCTTACAGTATGTCTTCTTCGAACTCGAAAGGGCCGTCGACGCCCGTTACGGAAAAGTTCCCCGATGGGCTGTAGGGGTTGATGGGAGTGGGTTGGACAGCGGTTGGGTGAAGGGGTAGTAGGGGTGGGAGGTGGGAGGTGATTTGCAAGCATGGATGTTGTAGGTGGTGGGTATTTGCATTAACTGGTGTTGTTCTAGGGTGGTGTGGTGTAGACGGGTGAGTAATATATAGAATGCATGAAAAAAGATACCAGTATGTGTAGGGAGTTTGCATGATGTGTTGCATGGGGGTTATTTAAGAAGAGGTGAGGAAATGTTGGGTTGAGGGAGAGTACCTATGGATGAGTTAGGTTAAAGGACTGGTTATACATGCATGACATAGCGAGCTTTACGATTACCAGTATATGATTTTTCTCTATAGAGTATGGGGTGGCATTTTGAGAGCGTCATTTGTTTGTTGCAATGTAAATTAATGACTAATTTGTAACTATCCGTAACTTGTGTGTGTGTGACGGTTTTGTACAGGAAGATAGGTGTCAACTAGGTCCCAAAGCGGTGCACCTAACTACGAAAGACGATTTGTCAACAGATCAATTTGCGCAAGAAAAATGCAAACGAAAAAAGAAAACAATCTCGATGACATCTTGACGATCAACTTATGACATAAAAATGAGGAGTCGGCTTGTAAAAAAGGTAAAAAAAAAAGGCAAAAGAAGAGGTCGTGCCCAGGTTCGAACTGGGGTTATTGGTAGATAAAGTGCTTCAAAAACCAAAGTGATAACCACTACACTACACAACCAATGAATACAGCCGTTGTGGGGCTTATTACGATAAGCCTGTTGGAGGTTTAGTATAACAAGGACTAGCCTGCTGGTTGTGAGAGGGATTGACAGGGTTAGGGTTTCTTGCTGTGCTCCTCGGCGGTGACGGCGAGTGACACACTCCCCTGAATCAGGGGGCACGTCAGATTGTTTAGGGAAAGAAGGAGAATACGTAAATATTCGTTTGGACATGTTGAGCGCCCTTGAGCGCCTTAAAATGATAGTAGAAGCTGAATTATAGACAAATATTTTTCTTTCTGTTGAAGAAGCGGGCTATCTAACATGCAAGTCGTCAAAACTCTTGACTGTCTCTACGTTCCTTTGCGATGCAGAACACCAGCACCGCCCTATTATTAGTTGCCAGAGCCGTTAGTGAGACTTTTCTTTTGTTTACCAGCCAGTATAAACCGTATTATCGGTTAAAACATAGTTCTACAGGGCTTCATAGTTAATCACCGGGGGAAAAAGGAAAGGGCTTACCTGGTGGCTAGGATAAACCAGCGTGTCAGCCACGACGACGTTTTCCCGTCTTGTTGCGCAAAAGACAACAACCTCGGCGATATCCTCTGGAGTAAGAGGTTCGCACCCGCTGTAGTAGTTCATTAGCAAATGAAGGGTTTATGGCCGATAAGAGACAAAACTGAGGGAGCTAGCGGGAAGGAAAGGGCAAAAGAAACCGAAAAGGAAAAGAACTCACGCATAAACAGCATCAGCCTTGCTCTTATCCCCATAAAACCTCACCACCGAAAACTCCGTCTCAACCTGTCCCGGATCAACACCCATGATCCTAATCCTCGTCGCAACTAGCTCCTTGCGCAAGCTCTCCGTAAAGCTCCGCACCGCCGCCTTGGTCGCACAGTAGATACTACCCCCGCGTACGGCTCCCTGCCCGCAATACTGCCAATATTAATAATATCCCCCGCGCCGCCCTCGTCCCCCCGCTTCTTAAAGATTGGCAGCACCGCCTGCGTCATGTTGATCAGGCCCGTCACGTTGGTCTTGAACATGACATCAATATCCTCTTCGGCGATGGCGGGCGCCTGCGCGACGCCCTTGACCAGGCCGGCGTTGTTGACCAGCACGTGGATGTCGCGGAACTCGGCTGGCAGGGCTGAGACGAAGGCGCGCACCTCGTCGGGCTTGCTGACGTCGAGCTGGAAGGGCAGCACGGCGACGCCGTCGCCGACCTCGGCGCGGATCTCCGCCGCGACGACGTGGAGGGTCTCGATGCGGCGGGCCGTGAGCACGAGCTTGAGGTTGTTGTTGGGCGCCGTGCGCGCGAACTCAAAGGCGGTGCTGCGGCCGATGCCGGAGGAGGCGCCGGTGATGACGATGGTCTTGCCGGCGAGGCGCTTGGCGGCCGCGGAGGAGGACATGGTGGCGGCGCGTTGGGATAGGAAGTGGTGGTGGTGGAGAAGAGGGTTGATAGTGGCAGAAGTAGTGGTGCGGCGTCTGGTTAGGATGCGAGCTGTACTTGTTGCGGTGCGAAACATGGGAAAGGAAAAAAAAAAAAAAGGAAATAGAAAGGGTGAATCCACATTCACGACATGGAGCCCCCAAGTAAGTACCGAAAGGTGCAATGATGCGAGATGCTACGAATAGATACCACCATTTATTAGATAATGATCCACTGTGCGGGTTCAGGAGCGATAAGGAAAGCTCCCCGCACAAAGACGCTGGTGATGGTATTCGTATCGAAGCTACCCTGTCTCGCCTATCTACCCCGCACTCACGCCATAGCTGTGAGTGTTAGTGAATCCCCCCTTTTATATCCGTGCAACGGCCTGACCAGTGACCACCTCGGTCGGCTTGACGACCATTAGCAGAGGACAAGGTACGTAAATACATGATTGTAGGGCAAGATATCGCGGTTAATGACATCACCACCGTGTTCATTAATAGACAAAAATTTAGATGCCATTGCATGAAACATTTCCGATTTTCACTGCCTGATGGCAGGTTTACTCAAAGATAGTTAGCATCTATCAAGAACCTGTTGAAGCAGCGATATTTAGCAAAGTTCTAGGGTTAGCTATGCAGTGTATCATTCGTCTACAATTAAGCTTCTGCAAAAAAAGCAAGCCAATTGCACTTGGAGAAGGTCTCAAACCAGAACTCTAAAACCCAACAACACTCCATCCATCCAGCAGCGGCCATCATTCATAGATGTAACAATGAGGTCCATCAATCGACGACACCGCTCCCTGACGGGCTTTGAGGGCGAAATGACCCCGCCAAAGTCGAGCAGCGAGTTCAGTGTGATGTTGTCGCTGGGGGGAACTAAAAGAGTCAGCACGAAAGAACATCTCTAACAACCCCAAAAAAAAAAAAAAAAAAAAAAAAAAAAAAAGAACAACTCACTATTCGCAGTCGTCCCCGTCCCCCAAACCTGATACGTCCTCCCACTCCCCAGCCCCTGCCAAATCGCCCACAACCGATCCACATTCGCATGATGCAGCCAAAACACCGGATCACTAGGACTGACACATCCAGCTGCGGCCCGCCCACCTGATAATCCCCAAACCCATGCACCCCGTCCACATCCGCATCCAACCCCAAATTGAAACTCCCAAGATCCAGACTACCCTCCAGCACCTTCACCATATTACTCGGTCTCGTCACCAGACTAAACACCGAGCTCAAATTCCTCGTCAAACACCGCGGGTTATACCCCAACCCGCCCCCGGCCCAGGCGGGCTCGTCACCACCGGCCCCAGATTCACCGAGAACTTATCCGCCGTGAACGGCCCCGAGGCAACACACCCCCCGCCCGTCGCCAGCGGGAACACAATCGGGTCTTTCCCCGGAAACGTAAGCACGAGGGGCTCGCGGCTGGGAACAAAGACGCCGTTGCCGCCGAGCGAGCAGAGGGAGCTGTCGAGCACGGACGAGTTGCGCGGGTCTTTGTACGAGAGCTACCAGTCCCAGTAGGGCTGCGCGCCGGCGTAGCCGCACTCGGCGCGCAGGACCTGTCCGTACAGGGCGACAAAGTGGCGGTGGAAGGGCAGAAAGAAGCCGTCCGAGTGGACAAAGGGCGTGCGGAGGAAGTGCGAGCCGACGTAGTCGTCGAATAAGGTGCGCGCGCCGGGGATGAGGGAGGGAGGGGTCATGGCGGGAAGGCTGGCGAGGCAGTAGACGGCGTTGATGCAGCTGAGGCGTTTTTTTTTTTTTGGAGAGTGTGCCCCTGTTGTTTGTTTAAGTAAACATTCGATTGTCTCTTGTGTGGTAATTTAGTGAGGGGGGATGGATGACTGCCCACTCTTGACGACGCAGGATCGTCGTGGACGTACACCCCGTCTTGCGGTGCTTGATGGTGCTCTCGATGACCTTTTGATATTGCTTTTGCAGCTGGTCGATTCGCTTCGATGCAGCTACTTCGGGGTCTTGGTTCCCGCCGTGACCAGCAACCCCGGCATTGATCACGGTGGCTAGAGGCAGGAGGGGCGCGATGATAGAGAGGAACTTCATGCTTGTGTTGATTATAATTCTGCGGCTCTTGAGAACAACACGGCGCACGACTGGTTAGCATCTCAGGCCGCTGACCTGCGCTGGGTCTCTCCAGGCTTTATACAGGGTTTAACTCGACTTCAAGCTCTAGATAGTCTTTACGTGACGGTCAAGTATGCAAAATATGTTTGGCTTTTACCCCAGCAGCTGAACTCCTCACCAGGATGCTTCCCCTACATCCGAGCCGGGATGTGGGAGTTGTGCCGAGGTCAGAATATGCATGCCGAGCCGACATACTAGTAGTTGTGGCGTGCTCACTATATCGTGAGTTTGTCAGATACTTCCCCTCTCAGAGACTTAGCGAAAGAACAGCAGAGCCTGACTCGGGGAAACCGTCTATGAGATAACAATCAGGCTGGTCCAGCTAATGTGTCAAACATGATGAGATGATTCCTGTAAGCATCAGTAGCTGATCACTCTAGGTACTATAGCTCAAAGGTAACGTATTGAAAGTACATGTCTTACCCATGCAGGTCAAGCACTGGGTAAACCCAAAGTGCAGGTGTACGTCAGCAGAGGAGAATGCAACAGACGTCCCAAATCATTTTACTGACACTGGTAAAGGTCCACAAGTTCTGCGCCTGTCTATCCCAGACTGCCGATGTAGTGTAACTACATGGGTACCTTGCTTTTGTGACACCTGCCTTCCTCATTCCACCTGAACATCCACCACCATCTAGATTACCACACCTCAACGACCAAGGAAGAGAAAAAAGAAAAATCAAACGCAAATACCACATTGATTTTATTGCCTACTAGCTCTCGCATGTAGTATTATCTATACAATCGGATGAGTAATTGTTGATAGTACGTGCCAATACTGCTAGCAATGCGCTGGTACCACAAGGAATGCTGTGTAACACCAGCTCTTGGATGGGGAAGTCACCGGAAGGATGGCTGGGATATTGCTGAAGTATGAGTCAAAAAGTCTGGCCCCTCACCAATTTTACCACCTATCTATTTATACCCAAACTTGACTTTTATAACTCAAATGGAATAGTTGGAGGTGGGATAGCTGTAAATGGGATAGTTGTAGGTGGTGTAGTTGTAGGTGGTGGTCGCACATGGGGCCAGAGTTATTGACTAACACTACACGTGGTATGGTATGGTATCACAGCTGAGTCAAGTCTGACGACGCGGTCAGGTAGCTGGGGCACGTGGTGATATCAATGGAAGCCATCACACCTTGCAGTAGACTTGTACCAATCGATCGACTGGAGGAGAGGAAGGTGGGGAGAATCTGAAGGGATGAAAAGGAGAAAATCGTATTGGGATCTTCCTGCGTAACACCAAGATTGGGTCTTTGCTGCCAACCAACCCGATTCCACGGTCAAGAATGAGCTGGAGCAAGAACAGCCTACTTTAGCGATCTCGGAGCATTTACCGGAAGGCACGAACGAACATGACCTGGGATGTGGTAGCTCAGTACCTCACCGTAGAAGCGCCCTTGCAGATCTCGATCTCAGGGTCG